TAAAACAGCTGGGTGAAATTGGGTTTTTCTGTTGTTATCCCTCACGAACTTCAGTTAAGAACTTCCATGAAAAAGCACAGACCTAGCAAAATGCCATTCAAATCAGAAATGGGAAAATGTTTCTTGATATTATCAGTCTGGAAATGGAACTGCTGGGGTTCGTGTTGCCAGCAAGGGGGGTGATGGTGGCTTGGAAGTCTGCTGGTGATACAATAAAAGCCTTATAGCTGTGAGGGGGATCTTTGGAGTTGTGTGACCTATATTTTAGAAGACATTTAAGAGAAAAACCATTGAGGTAAATAGGTGTGGGTGATTTGTGAAGGGTGGGAGGTGTTTTGTTTTATATCGTTTGCACACATTTTATTGTGATTATAAAAATAAAAAATAAAAATCTTAAATCATGAAACCAGATAGAATTTTCATTCAAAGATTTTGTGAGAGTGCTAAATTCATGTGCAAGCTGTCTATGTTTGCTTTGTGATCATACAGTATATGCATGTGCTCTGGTCTTCATTAAAGCTCTTGTTGAATATCCTTCTAGCCCAGTAGAAGGTCTATAGCTTCTAGCTTTTTATCCAAGATCAGCCTTGTTCTTCTCACTGGATCTTAAAGCCTACAAACCCTGTAGGCACAGCTAGAAAAGCTGTTACTAATATACTGTATAACTTACAAGCCCATTCGTATGGAGCATTTTTTCCATTTTCTTTTAATCCAAAGTACAGTCTGGTCCTTTTTATTTATTCCAGTATTGCACATGAAGAATTACTTTAAAATAATATTTACAATAAGCTGAAATCTAAAAACCAGAAACCCACACTAACATCATGTACTGTAAACTCTCAAGGGAATTTATCAAAGTACAGTCTTATACAGTTATTATATAATACTATATAAAAGTCTTTTTTTTCTTCTAAAATCCCAAAGCAAGCAAAAAGTGACTATGAGATAAATGTTCTTGGAACAACATTGAAAATGTTCTAATGACCCAAAAGTATGAAATCAATTCAAAGCCCATCTTAGACAAATTCACAGAGATCTCTTACATGATAAAATGAACTATATTGTTAAGTTTTATCACACTATGTATTCTGATAATTGTGGTAAAATAAATCGTTTATAAATAAAATGTAAAAGGCGGGTATTTTAACAAATAACAATTGTTGCATTTCAAGTGCCTCTCAGGATATAATTTTAATTATTTTGCTCATAGGTGATAGAGGTTTCAAGGTTACAATTTACTTGAATGGGTTACATAAAATCATCATAAACACAACATGAGGCAACACACATAAAAACCATACAGCAAAATAAAATTTCACATAAGCATACCAGGACCACTGTTACTGAACCGCAAATGTAGAATGCCCTTGCTAGCTTTCATTTCCTTTAAGTTGTTTCATTATTTTCTCCTCCCTATCTGTAGTTCTGCTCTTACTGTATCTTCAGCTTAAACTATGCCTCTCTTTGAATACTAAATAATAATTTCATTCCTGTAATGCCATTTGCACACATGGTTGTAAAGCTTTGTGCATGTTGTTATCTTGTGTTGTTAGTGTTTTTAAAGGAGATATGATGGTGTTATGTAGCCCCATTGAATTAAAACATTCACAGACCAAGTTGAAATATTAAAAGGCATATCCAGTACATTTTTACTTGTTTTTAGAGAGAAAATCTTTGGTGAGTAGCATTCACACAGAGAAGTCACATAAACAGGTGATACAGAGAACTAAATATTCTATCAAGCAAGTTGTGACAAAAATGTGTTGGTTTCTTCCCTTACAATATCACCGTTCCACTTTCTTTTGAGATTCACACTATAGAATTCTAAAATTGTGCAAAAGTAAATTAGCAGTTATTTTAATATTAAGAATCATGATAAAATGGTGTTTTTGCAATTTAGATACTGTACCCCTGCCCACAGTTGTCACAAAACCTGTATTTAAAAGAAAGGCATGGAGATCTGTCAATTATGTGTTGAGGGAAACACTTCTAAAAGTCCTTAAGTGATGATGACCAGCACTGATGCTGAAATAAACTAGAGCTTGTAAAAACAAGAGAATGAAAAAAAAAATTAACTCCAGCACACTCCAATCCATTTAACAAGATAAGGTGGGTGATGTAATTGAAGCTAATACAAATGGTAAATTACACAGTATGGTCTATTACACTGCTAATCTTGAGCCAGACTGCAAGATTGGGAAAAAATGTATGAGAGTCAGGGATGGCTTTTGTTTGTATATTTTAATGAAAGGGGTTAGTGTTTAATATACAGTATAAAGTCCAAAAGTAAGGACAGCAATGACTAAACTTTTGTTTTATAGTCAAGCAATTCATATATGTGATCATGGTAATAATATTAACTCAAAATACAACATCATATCTGTTTTATTCTTAGGTAATGCCATGCAACATTTGTTAATACTTTATAGGCAATAATTAAATTAACTCTATCACCCATTGAGCTTACCAAAATCTTTGAAATTGAGATGCTTTGCCAAATCTTTCTGTAGCCACTTTGAGTTTTTACTTTCTTGGGATGTTTTGTAAAATGCTGCTCAATTTATTTGGCCAGTGTAAGATTTTTTGCTTTTCCCTCCTGATGAACTTCTTAATTGCTTTGACTGGATATTTTGGGTCATGTTGCATGGTGAATCACCACTCAATGAATGGAAGCATTTTCTTCTACATAAAAGATAAAATGTTTCTGTAAATTTCAGAATTCATTCTAGTACAACCATCATTAGTCAGAGCTTCAGTTGCAGGGTTGAAAGTATATTTTTTATCTAATATAATAAATGTATGAAAGTTTAACTACAGGAAAAAAAACATTAATGATATTTATCAATTATTTTAATCCCGTGACCGCAAATACAATTTGACTGTTAAAGCAAAAATGAATTTTAACTGCCCCAAAAGCCCGAATGCTTTTTTGTACTATTCTTTCCTGTACAGATCAGAAACAATAGGTTAAGAAGTACAGTCAGGTGAGCTGCTTAATGAATATCCATTTTATAAAAGGGTCATACAATTAAAATACTTAGGTATTTCCTATAGGGATTTAATTACCTAACAAATAGTAATTGGTAAAAACTTTTGGAACTGAGTTTTAACTTAATTATTATTAATTTAATATTTGTGTTTGTTCAAACTAATATACTGGCTTTATTAAGGATTATGTGTTTTTATTTTAATTTTGTTTTCAATTACAAAGGGAAAAAATAATCCATAGCCTCGTATTCCCTCATATTTTTTTAAACAGTATGATTTATTTTGCAACAAGAATTAAAGAGCATTTTGAAATGTTCACACTCAAGAGCCATAGCATTCGGAAAAGTGCTCAGAAGTACTCAAAAGGAAAACCCTAGTGTGGTTCAATGAAAATGTATTCATTGACCACAGGCCAGAAAATGGAGAGGAGACAAGAGGATTACCCTGGCATCAATTGAGAGAAACTAATCTCTGGTGGCATAATAGAACTGTACATAAACATCCTGAGAAAAAAGGCAGCCAAGTACTAACTGTATGAGCTAAGTGTCTGCCTGATGGTTTTAGTGTGAAAACAAGGCAACCAGAACATTTAACTCGTTATTTTACTTTACAGGCTTTCTACATGACACAGAACCAATAACTTATTGAAACCACCACACATATTGGCCAGACCAAAAAAAATTGTTTTCACTGCTGGGACTGAAGACCTTAAATACACTAAAATGGTATTTTACAAAATGCCACCCAGAAAATAATAACTGGCAAATAAAATTCTAAATGTCCTTGGTTTTCCTTCACTGCTAAAACATTACTACCCAAAATCTTTTAATTCTTCAGAAATAGAAATAATCCTAGTACCTGTTGAACCTGAGAGTTTTTAGCATTTCCCATTTAAATTCATGAAAATGTCTAAAAATAATAAATATTTCAGTCAGCTCTAAGCAAGCTGATATGACAAAAAGTTTAGAATTCACCACAAACTCACCTTCAGGTCAGTCAGAGAAATGTTATAGCCCACAGCACTCTCTCATATTGATTTGCATAATAAAATCATGCAGTAAAAACACAACTTATGGAAGACAATTCATACTGTATTTGCCGAATTTGCAGACTTATTTCCCTTTTAGAATATTTTGTTCTAAAACTTGTTTTGTCAAGACAGACTTATATATATGAGTGATCCATCTTACTGTATGCAGCCTATGCAATTTTTTACATCCCTTTTTGGATCCAATCATATTATTTTTCCATTTTTTATTGTCTTGGCTACCAAACCCTTCTTCCATGTAAAATTCCCATTATATCCCACAGGACATTTGGCAGACATTACAGTTTTGAAAAAAGAGAAAATTGATGTTTTGAGGTCAGAGAGATGATGGTGTAGACATTACAAGTAGCCTAATGGTCTACCACAATAAATAATTTTGGTTATTCTTAAATACAACTGAATAATATCCAGAAGGATGCAAATCAAGCCACAATGAGGCACTGGAATGGATTGCAACTGCATGGTTATAACAGGATGTACAGTATAGTCAAAAAAATACCCAGATATCTGGTATTTGGGGTTTCTGACAGAGGTGAGGTGATAAAGACAAAAATACCTATTGACAGTAGCCTTTCCAAAGATCTAACATGACAGTGAGTCCAAACAAACCAAACTGACCTCATGACTTAGTCATGCTTTGATTGTGTATGAATGAAGATGATGCAGATATAAAATGGCCAATAGGAAAGGACATTTACTGAAAAAAGTGAGATTTTAGTACAACATAAAAAATTACTACAAAGCTAGACTTTTTGCATACCTAAGAGAGGAATGAATACCATCATTACTCAGATTCAAATTGGAAATATGATGTACTGTAGATCAAGATAATTTACTTGCAGCTCTTCAAATCCACTCCAATACAGTACTTTAATACCTTAACACAATGTTTAGCTACTGTACATTGCAGCAGCTCTGACACATTCCTGACCTACCCTTTATATTGAATAATCTCACCATGAAAAAAGGTTTCAGGTTTCTTTTATTAATTAACAGTATGTACAGTTTCTAATGTGAAAAATAACGAGTAACATAATATTAGACTCTATTTACAATTCAATTTTTACAAAACAGCTTTACAAGGAGTTTTATCAGTTTAAAAAAGGCTAGACTAAAACACACACACAAACCAAATGTTTTGTAATACATACACAAATAAATATTGACATTTAGTGACTGTAACATGAGCATGATTTCTACAGCCAGTTTAGTAAATACATACTTCTGTCATTTTCACACTACATTTTCATTCCATTAATAATAAGTAAATATCCCCCCATAAAATTCTCTGTTAATCTGTTAGTGGAGCTTTGTTAATATATTCAAAGAGGTAACACAGACATCACACTTCATGCCTAGAACAGAACACTAAGTTTTGTCATGCAAAACCAAATATTGTAAAATTCAAATTGTAGCTACTAACTCATTTACAGTTTAAATTAAATGGATTCCTACATGCAATATCATACTTTATGCAATATTCACTGTTAAACTACACAGGCTTTAGTTACATCATATCCATCGGTATTACGTACTATTAAGCGCCATTTGGGATTATTTAGAATTATATAATAAATAATTGAATCCAAAGCTATTCTTGAAGATGGCAATTTTAATATACAAGTCTTATTATGGCACTTGTTCCATTTTCAAGGTAATGTATAAGGACTCTTTTTTCTTTTCTACATTTAAAACAGCTGCTAAAATTTTTTTTTTTCAAAAGACCAAATGTAGGCCTCTTAGTTATCTAAAGTCTTCAAAGTTCTTTTATCTTCCCATTATCCCAATCTTAAAAATGATATCAAAGCTTAAAGACTATACTGTTGTTTTGTATTTTTTTATATTTTTACAGTGCAAATCTCCCTCACAAAAAAGAAATCTCCAAGTACCACAGCAATTTAGCATAAAGGCTTTGGAAGTTAGCAGTATGAGTCCATTGTTGACTGCATTAGAAAATTGTGGAGACCAAAGCAATGAGTGAATTCCACATGGTGAGGAGAGCAGGACAGAAGGTGTGACCAATCACGCACCATCCAGTTTTAAAGAAAACCCGCCTCAGTTGGAGGAGAGTGATTCCACAGTTTATTTTCTTAATTTTTTTTCTCTTTTGTGTGCAGTACATAAGACTGAACTGGTATTTGTCACACAAATTCCCCTGGGCCTTCAGTGTTTTTCTGAAGACTGCTTATGATGATGCTGATGATGCTGTCTGAGTCTGGGCCCTTAAACAAAAACAAATAATAACATCAAGCTTGTTTAGACAAGGAACTCAAGCAATGAAGTTGCAGCAGTGGAGCTCAAACCAATAAAGTATCATAAAGTAACTCTGCTTTGTGAAGGTTTCGTTTAGTATTAGAGTAACATGCAACTTTAAACAAATGTAAACATTGCAAATAATATGTATAGGAAATCTTGCATTTGAATGTGGATTTCAGCAAAATCAACTATACTGACATAAAGTGGGATGCAGTTATATTCAATAAGGTACAGATAACTTTTAAAAAAAGTATGTGGACAGCGTGTTTTTTTGGCTTAAGGAAATACCAAGACAAAATGTGAAAAGTTTATACAGAAATCCATTCGTTCTCTGGAACATAATTTAAATATTAACATTAGGCCTGGGATGTTCAGAAAGAACAAAAGAAATCTGTAAAACACATGCTGGAATTGTGATCTTAGATCTGCAATAACTCGCGTAATAGATGAAATTTAATAACTTATTTAAGTAATTACAAAATAGCCATAGCAGAAACAATTTTCAAAGGAAACACGATTTAAGATAGCCCAAGCCAGCAACTGGCTTTGAGATCATAAACTACAAACAATACAAGTAACATGCAAATAATTTCAGCCACATCCCATTGCAGAAAATCCTAAATAAATAAACAAACTTAAAACACAATTTAAAAGATTAGCCAAATGGCCTCAAAGCAACATGTAACATGAGATATTTTAACAGGCATTTATTGGAATAGCTGTTTATTTTAAGTGCCATATGTCCAATGACATAGTGTTTGACTGCTATGTGCCCTTTATTGAAGAACAAATGGTACTGTCACAGGTGAAAAATAATGTGCTATTTAGATCATCCCAATGCATGTGTTGGAAAACCTGTAGGTTTGGAATTTACTGGTAATGCAATACATAAAATGGATTTTCTTTTCAAACAGGTTTTTTTAGACTAGATCCCATGTATTAATGTTTATGTCTGTGAAAATACACTTACTGTGTTGGAGAGCTGGCGACGTATCAGGTGTGTGAAATGTTTTAACAGTTGCTGGGCCTTCCCCCCCTGTCGTTATCACTTGCACTTCAAGTCGGTAAGAGGTTGATGCTCTGAGATTGGAAACTGTTAGAAAATTATGGTCCTGGAAGAGACAAGAGAAACAGCATGGGTGTCCCAAATAAAAAAAATACTGAAATCTAGCATTTAAAACTCTTAATATGAACTCACAGTCTTACTGTATCATTACAAAAGTATGTTCACTTACAAAACTATTCCAAAAATTGACTGCTAATCAACAACACACCATTTTTTTCTTTTCCCCAAGATGAGCCAAAAAGACTCTTTTATTAACCTTTTCTATTTCCCTATATATTTCTTTGAATAACCATTCATCTTTTATCCATTATCAAAAAGCTGCTTATTTCTGGTATGGATCAAGGTGACACAGAGCCAGAACAGAACCAAATCATGACACCAGACCACTAAGAAAAAACGTTAATGCATATATAGGATGTAACTTAGATACAGTTAATATCCAAACAGGAAACTTTAAAGACTTTGAAGGAATTCTAATTATATGCAACTACCTCAGCAAAGCATATGTAATTCAGTATTTTATATTTCATTAAGCTTTTGTTTTGCATTAATAATATTTTTTTCTTTCAAGCTCTCACATCACACAGAATATTTGGTTCTACAATCAAAATGTATCCGAATTAAACAATAGCTTTTAAAATAAATGTTCTGATCTACAAAATGGATATTATTTTTTTATTATTAGGTACACATGCAATTTGTAAAAACTGCAATGCCGGATGGTTGGTAAAATGGCCTTTCACATATACTTCAAGATGCAAATTAATTTCTGTATTTGGTAATTAAATATGTAATATAATCAACCTTACAGTTAATTGCTGTATTTTACAAAGTTTCCAGTATCTAACAGCTAGTACATGTACTTAAACACAATTTACATGACCAGAAAGAAAGAAAGTGACTAGATGGATGATCCATTAGTAATTAAATGATAAGTAACTGTGCTCATGCTACTTTATTGATTTATTTAAATGATCATGTGTTAATTATTTAACAAAACATAACTATCTTACACCTTTAATGAAATGAACCTGCTCACCAGCCTATTAGTGAAATCTCTGAAATCAAATGTTCTCAAGAGAAGGACGTGTACATTGCATTCCCTCATTAGAGGCCAGAGATTTGTAAGCCTCTGGAATACTGTATAATGACTGAAATGGAGGTCTATTGTTGATATACTGTAACCGCTATTTGTGATGTGCATAGTGTTTTTCTTTGAGGGTTATCCATAATAAGAAGATTCATTACAACATCACAATCCTATTAAATGCACTTCTTATGTCATTTTTTTCATTACTCTTTTCCTGTTTTAGTTGCAGACAGCTCCACATCTGTGTTTTTAGTATCCAGGGCGACCATGAACTCCTACGTGAAAATACTGTCACACATAGCTGCCCTGCATACATATTTATTTGCTCACGAAATCCAAACAATAAAAGCATACGCTTGATAACTTGACAGAAATGTCAACAGCAACAAAAAATAAGAAGGAACTATTAAAATCAGGGGCCTCCAAATATTTTCACTGTGCGTTCACGACTGCAATTCACTGAGTGCTGAAAGTCTGCTAAAAGACTTATAAACACAAACTCATTTCCTTATTAACAATGGTTTCATTTATGAACAAAAACAACTAACACAAATAAGATTAAAGAGTGGATTAATAGGAAGCAGATGAGCAGAAACAACCGCCAAAGACTTCAAACCTTCATTGTGTAATAAGTGTTCCTGTATTTTTAAGGGTGTGTTACTTTGTTGGCCCTACAGTTCTTTTGCACTTGGCATTGCGAGAGCAGGACCAGTATCTTTACATTACAGAGACATGATGGTGTTCACAGACCAGACTATTCACTCCTGCATTTCTGTTAAGATCTAAAATATGACGCAAAAAAAAGCAAAGAAATTCAACAAGACCAGTCCTCTCTTTTAGATGGTTTGATACTCCCTGATTGTTAAGACTACAGTGCTGATTTGCTTTCAACACTCTGGAAAATAACACAAATACAAACTCTGGAAAAGAGTCAATAGTACAAAGTAATGCAGCAAAAGCATGAAGCTCATGCAGAACCACTGACATGTTTTCCCAAATATGTCAAGGCAGCAATTGCGAAAACAGACTTCACGGCATTGTGGGTGAAATTGTAATTATTTGTTGTGGCACGAGACTTACTGGAGGCAGTATCTGTGACTGAGAGATGATGCTGTTTGGCAAACTGTTCTGTCGGTTTTCTGTAGTCACCTCTGCCCAGGTCACCTGGAATCCTGTGATCCGCTGGTGGGGGTGTACTCTTGAAACCCTCCAAAAGAAATTCCCAGTAATGTTCCCTTCATGAATGTAGAACGATGCGGTCAGGTTTTCTGGTTTCGCCAGTACTTTCGGAAGCACTGTAACTAAAAAAGAAGAGAATTCCCTAATCAGTAGTTGATAGATACAGTTCAGGTTTTTAAACAGAATGTTAACACTTGACACAAACACTAGATTGTTAAAAAATGCACGCCACTGTAAATGACACTTTCACTCAATATTTAAATTCAGTAAACACTTTGAATAGATTGTGGGTACGTGAATGTTAATGAAATGCATTCTGAGTCACAAGCATTCTTCAAGTCTCAACAAAAACTTCAAAATGAAGTCCATTTAACATCTTCCGCCTGCTTTTGTAAAGTAATTCCGCTCGTTACTGGAGAGATGCATGGTTACGCATTAGATCTACGGCTGAGAGTTGCACTCACCCCCATCTGAAGGGCAGCTGAAGTGTTTATGGTTCTTTCCTTTCAAAGCAGAGCATGATGGGGTGGAAAAGCTGGTGGTTTCAGCCTTTGAACGGCCCTTTAATTTCATTGCGTGAACTGTCACTTTATACTTGCAGGAAAACAGCAGCCCTTGGAGATGAATGTAGTTTTCCTAGACAAAGAACAAAAATTGTTCATCACAAATGAGTTAAAATACAATAACTGCACCTTTTTACAGGTCTCAAGGATGTATAAAGATAATTAACTACATTAAAATGGAAAATGAATAATTTAGTTGCTTCATAAAAAAACATGTATTTCACAAAAGAAACATAACAGGCATATTTATATAGTCTGTATTCTGGGTTAGATAAAACTATTCTAAAAGTATAGTTGAATTAAGAACTCCCTACTTGTAACTGAAAAAGGAATTAAAGCTCAAAATGCAAGCAATGGATTGTGTTTCTCATAAAGATGTACATTTTCAACCTACCTCTGTTGGGTGTAGAAATTAGAATAACTCCTTTACTTATAAGTTATAAGACTGAACTATGGAATTATGTCCATGATAGCAGAAAAAATTATTGAGACCTACTATGTATTTGCTTTCGGTATAAGCTACAAGATTGAAAGTAAGGACAGTAATGTCAATGCATTAGGGACATTCATAATTAATCTTCAAGTAAACACCACCCGATGTCTAATCGGGTTAAATGGGGTTAAACCCCTCTGCACCCCAAACCTGTTTTCAATGTAAGATTTTTCAGCAAACAAATCTGGTCTGGTAAATGAAAATACCAGAAACGTCGAACGAGACACTGGGAATTCCTGCAATCATGTATTCTAATATGTAGCAGACTTAATGGCTTATTAAAACCAACTGAGTCAACTTGTTCAAACTAAGTACAAGGGAACAAGAACTGCATCTGATGTGAATTTTCCAAAGCCTTTAAGAATTTGGTAGAACAAAAAAACAGCATCTATTTCTTAGCAACCAGTAACAGAGCACCTAAAGAATGCCAGTCTTGCTGTGTCACCAAACAAATGCCATTTGTGATCTGACTGAGCTGAAACAGCAAAGTCTCAAATGCTCTTTGCAACCCATAAAGTATTTTACTGAGAATTTCTGGCAAGAACATTTGAGTTATTTTCTTCACAGAGAAGTTTTTTCATCATTCCAGTGAAAAATAATAATGCCACAAAAAGCAAGTCCTTTATTTCCACAAAAGTAGTTTGTATAGAATGACACCACATTAAAAGTGTAAATAAACTGTCAGAATATGACACGATATCACTGGATTACACATGTGCATTTGTTCAAAAACAGAACAAAAAGCTAAAAATGTGTCCTTTGCAAAAATCCACATTGGCTTTTTCCTTATTAGATATTGAAGACTAATTTCTTTCAGTTCATACTCCTTTGATTCGTTTCACAGTGTGTATAAGGTTTGTTCTCCACAATTTTAAATTTGTGCATTTTTCCAGTATTACACAAATTAATTGCTATTGCTAGTAAACCTGTGCATATGGAAAACCTGAACTTCAAGAATGGCACTGATATATACTGTATATAATCACTGTTCAGCATATACTGTACAAGCACACTAAATTGTGCCAACACAGCTGTCAGTCAAAAGTGACATTTTCTTTGCTCTTTTCCCAATTCTAATGCTGTGTGCAACATTTTGCCCTAGGAAAAACACATAGCTCTGTTTTCATACCATTTCAACTATGTTACAAATGCAACAAGAAAATAAGAACATAAGCAAGGTGAAAAAGAAAAGGAGGTCTTTCATCTCAGGTAGCTCATTTGACTTGATTGTTAATTGATTATTAATTTAAATATCAAAGGATCGCTGTTTCCAAAGGTTCAATGTTTTTTTAAATAAACCAGGGTATTGGCTTTTGAAATATGGCTGATTAGCTTGTTCCATGTTCAAAAACACTTAAACCATCCCACATCATTCTTAATTCCTTTAAAACTGACTGTGCACAGAATAAAACAATCATTTTTAGTAATTTAATTAAAATATACAGTGGGTCATCTCATGTATTTGCTAGAGGAGTTTAGATTACCTTCCATCTGTTAAAAATACTACACTAGATAGTGTACATTTATCTCATCTGCAGAAAGAAGAAAAGGGTTAATAATATTTTTAATTTACCTGTGTCACAGATTTCTCTGGACTTTTCGTTTCATTGTGACTGCAGGATTCTGGCAACCACTGGACATGGTAGCGGTTCACACTGGGATCTGGGTCGGAAACAAACAAAAAACCATCATACTTGGGTTATTTGATATATTCACCTCACATGTTAAACACATGTTGTCAGGCTATGAATAAGAAAGTTATGAAGGAAATACATATTTGTTGGTCTCTTGTAAATAATGAAGCCAGTAAGTTGCCAAATATCCGAACAATGACGGAAAGTTCTGAAGTATAGACTCATCAAACCAGCATATGATTAAAGGCTTTGTAAAAGTAGTGTTAAAAGATAAATTTCCATTTCCCAAAACCTAATTTCCAGAAATCCATTCCATAGTTTTAAAGAAATCATAGACATAGTTTAAACACAGGCCTGGTCAGTACTGGGATAGGAGAAAAAACAGGTTCCTGCTGTAAGCAGTGCTGGTGGCAGACTTCCACCTAGATTCCCACCCTAGATTCAGTATGGAAATCCTGTAGGAGGTGCCATCCTTTGGATGAGACATTAAACCAAGGTCTTAAATACTTCCCTTAGCAGTGTTCATAAGAATAGAGCTGTTCTCCACATTGTCCTGGCTAAATTCGGGAGTAGGCTTTTAGAACCTGGCCTCCCTATATTCCTCCACTGTTCTCTGGATGAACTTATTTCTCACTCCTCCACCCAATCTGTTATGTAGCGCGGCTGTTAGCACAGAACATCACCTAGGTGGGGCTGTACTACAGCAGGGAACGAAATGGGTTTGCTTCTATATGTAAAGCAATTTTGGGATATTTTGAGACTAAAAAGCATGAAATCAGTATAATGAATTCTTAATTATAAGAACAACATGAAAAACCATACACATTCATAATGGTAAATTTCATAAGGAAATGTTCCTGAAATACCTTTCATTTTATATCCAAAATGTGTTTAAAGTGGACAATTTGTTTTTGGAGGGAGATAATGTTGATTTGCCACACATCTCACATTCATGGAGAAATTCACCCCTTTACAGACATTTTTACCTTAACTTATACCCTTATAAAGATAATAAACGTCTCCAACCTTATTGTAAACTACTGGAGCATATTATTGAAATAATGTAGAATAAAACCACTTCTGTTTCATGACAGATTCATATCTTATTTAATAAAGTGTATTTAATACAGTCCATGTCCACTGAAGTGTTTGTCCCATTTTGTAAAGTTGCTGGGAAAAGAAAACAAGCTCTTTAATACACATACTGTAGAGCTCATCATTTCCTGAAGGCAAACAGTGGGCAAATTCCCCCTCTAATTCGTGAAGTATTGGGTAGGAAATTTTCCAACAGTTTCCTAGTAGGGAAAATAAGTACCATAATCTTAACAATGCTTCACTTAATAATAATACCTTGCTAAGACACACAAGCTAATGTGATATCACCTCAAGATATGTAACAGAGTCAAAGAATACAGATCACAACATGTTTCAGGATGATCACGTGGGTGAATGCCACGATTGCTTAAAGCATCACCCATATAGGCCATTTACAGTCTATTACACAGGAGCACGTTGTGATAGGATTCATTGAGGTAATCAAATGTGTTTGTGTTCGGAATTTCCCCTTGTTATTCGCAGAATTTATTATTCATCAGCACATGTAGTTTGGGGGTGAAATTATACTTCTCATATTAATAATTAAGGGAATATGCCACTGCAGCTCTGCCAAAGGCAGAGATTGTGGTTTAGAGATAAAAGAAGTCCTTTGATGGGCTAGACATGATTCTGGCAGTGAAAAGCTTTAAGCAGTTTGGAAGCAGAAAAGAGGGAATTATGAGCTGAAAATAATGAAAAAAGATAAACAAGATTTAAATCTGAGCAAATGGAACGAAGTAGTAATATATAAAAATCGAAGGAAAGATCTCTCATATCCAAGTTGATAGTTGCCCATCAGCCTGTGGTTTTTAAAAGTAAATATTTTTGAAACCCACAAGTCCTGTTTCTTTGAGCTAAAATATTTTTGCCCTAATTCCAGAGTACTTTAAATGAATTTTCAAATTACGCTCTTGAAGCAGATGCTTCATGACAATCCACTTTCATGGGAATAGCTTTTGCACAAAAAAGAAATGTGAAAATATTATTTAACCCTTTTCTCTGTTTGTTCAGCTGGGTGGTTTGAGAGATGTTCACCATGGGGTTCCATTACCTTGTATTCAGAAAATATGGATTTTCATTTGAAGGATCTGTTGTCTTTCAGCATTCCATTTTAAATTGGAATTGAATCTTTAAATTGGAAAATGCATTTTTTTAGTTTTATTAAATTGAGGCAATGTGAACCAAAGAAAAATAGATGTGCCATAAAAGTAAACAAAATATACTATGTTCACATTTCAATATTTGCTTGCTCTTAATATTTCAAAATAAAACTTCAAATAAATAAATTTAAGGTAAACATCTAAGCAAAGGATTAAAAGCATTTGGAAGAGCAGATTATTTCATTAACACATATTGCATTGTTGAAAAGAAACCTTTTATATTTATTCATTTAGATCTATCCTGACCACAGCCTGAAGAATATTTCTAAGGGCATGTAATAATGGTATAATAACTTTAATAGATTGCTAACAGACAGTTACAACAGAAACATTTATTCTTATCTTATCATCTAAGAAGAAAGACCTAAATTACTTCATGTACCACATTCTATACCTGTCTATACCTCCACATGTCTTACGTCACAAATCTACCAAGACAATCAATCTGCAGCAGCAACTCACTCAGTGCCTTACATGAGGGCAGGTTTGAAGTTGCCTACTGAGATACCACCCTCAGGCTATGACCAAGAGCCTAAAGTTGGTGTTAGATTAGCTTACAAGTACATAAATGAACTGAAGGTTGAAGAACAGTCAACTGCTCAAAAAGTTCAAATGCTGTTTATCAAGACCAGCTGCTTTTATGTTAAAATATGGGTGGTCAAGGCTGTTTGCAAAATAAAAGGCTTGGCACATTATAAGTTATTTTGTCATTGTGAAATGAACCAGGCCCGTAATTTAACGGTGCACACAAGCTGACTGAAAGTCTACCCAATATAGACAACAAGTCAAGTACACCCAGTACCCTAAGCCTGGTCTAGTTTAGCTAAACAATACAGACTGCAAAGATTTTTCTTTTTTTGAATTTAGCATAAACTTCTTTACTCTTGATAAACATTTACAAACTCCCTGCATTCTTCAATTTCTTACGCAAAGTCTGGCTGTGGTGATGACACAGATTAGTAACAACACAAGCCATACTAAATGAAATTTGACAGTACTTCCCTAGTGGTAAAAGTTTCATGGTTTTGTATTTCCACTCTGGTATTACAAGTAAGTGAAAAGTACTGTACAGAGTGTTGCTGTTAAGTCTTCCCTCACACCTCTAAAAGACTCAGCAGTAGCAACATCGTGTTTTTCTTTCAACTTTTCAGTGCGTAATTAACCTTTACCTGTTCCTAAATTGGTCAGACCCCATATTATTTTTTTACTATATTTAAGCTCAGTTACAATAAAGTTTTAAGGCAAGTACAGCAGGCAATAAATCAAACACAGCTCAACTTCCATGTAATACTAGGATTTTTAGAAGATATCTCCAAGACTTACAATTCATTTTCCAATTTTGGCTTTTCGATTACTGAAGCTAAATCTGAGAGATAAAAAGTAACATTATTATAATCAATGTTTTGTGTTTAGTGCATCATTAATTATGAACTTCTCCAAAGTCAGCATTTTAATCACTCAATTCTAGAATGAACAGTATGATGTATAATTCTTTTAAAAAGTAATCATACTTTTATGGTCTTTGAAACATCAAAAGGGTTGGGTCATATTTTTGTGGATCATACCTCCCCTTTTCTTCCAGTAGATTTTGACCTGAAGCTGTCCATCTTGGTAGAAAGGAACTCCAACTTCTAATGGGCCTGTTGGCTGTTTTCCTGGATGAGATGTCAGCCTTTGCTCTCCTTTATGTATCTTTGAAGACTGTTCTTCTAGGAGAGAAACCAAGTTCAACACCATTCATTGCCATTATTGAAATATAGCTGTGTTATTTCATTAAAATCTTTTAATATAGTCACTTTATACTTAGTTTATTGTAAACGTCACAAGTTTAAAAAATAAAGACTGGTTAGTAGACAGGGTTAGAACCCTGAAACCATATACTTAAATAAACATAATGACTACATTCTAATCAAAAATGATTTTTTGTAATAAATAAAACAGAACTAAGCAAGATTACACAGTTAATCCCTCCTTGACATAAGAAATTAGGCATTATCCTTTCTTCTTACTAATTCTTCTTACTAATCTGTTATAAGATTACACTTTTAATCATTGCCATATAGAAAACAATTCATCATTATTATTATTAGCATTAAGATTACTCTGAGTTTCCCAGATTTCAAAATGAGCTATGAAAAGCATTGAAAAGAGTGGAAGTACAGGTAATTAAACAAAAGAGTAGAAAAATCAAAAGAAGACGTGAAAGTGAAGCCTTTTACCATTAATTAAATGCTGCTAAGAGAGTAAGAAATGAGAGAGATGCTAGGCTGGTACATCTTTAAAAGGACATTAAAGAGTGACTGATTCTCTTTGCAGTTCAATGTGCCTTTCAATTGCCAGTATTTGACAGACGATATATAACAGACCAATATATTCTTCAGTTTCCCAGGGATTCATTACATGCTGTGCCAAACCACTATAAATTCTGCCACCATGCTTTGGGAAAATCGACTATATCTCTTGAGAAAACCTGCAGGGTTCAATATTCGAGCTGTGGAATTGGAGAACTGTCAGCAAGATTTGAGAACTGAGCTGTATTATCCTTCTTAATACCTTCTGCAAACCAAACTCCACTGTGAAAACCACTCGCTACTCAGACCCTTTGTTTAAACAGAAGGAAGATACCAATGGAAAGAAAATCACCACCATCACGTAAACCAAAATGGAAAGGAACAGCGGCAAAAGGGGCATACTTGTGTCATTCAATCTCATGGTGCTGAAGTAGAGAGCAGCCTTGGCACTCTTCAGACGCACTTGTCCCCAGTATGTCACTGCTTGCACTTCTACCATGTAGCTGCTGTTTGGCTGGAGCCCTTCCAGATCCACATAGTTTTGGGACTGTAATGGGATGAAAAGAACAGCAACAATACACACAACTTAGGATTTCACTTTATTAAAAACACAAGCCTGTGGCCTGTCAGAGTCACCCAATCGGTACACTACGGAACCCTACTGTCACATTTAAAATGTTTCCCAAAAGAAAAAAAAAAGGTTATTAAAAGCACATGCGCATTTTGCTGCCTTCGACTGGGCTGTTTTATCATGGTGGGCCTCACACTAAATACCCCTGCCACCACTGTAAGTATTTTTGAGACCACATCATCTGAGAGCCCGAAGCTGGATCTAGTTCTGCAGTCTGTATATTTGACCATTCAACGATCTTTGGTTAATAACAGAAGGCTGTTGTCAGATGTAGAAGTGTCTGGGTTGAAACCAGAGAAACCTGACAGCTTTCTTATATCTCTGCATCCACTACTAGATTCACACTCATATTCTGGGTCACCAAATAAAACATTATTCTGCGAAGTGATTACTAGAAGGGAATGTAAAATTTCTTCCTTGAATGGTCACTTGGTGCCTGTGTTAGGTCAGATGTTTGGCAGACTAAAGTGAAAAAACACTGTATTACGAAATCCGATATAGTGTGAAGAAAAAGGTTGGAATGGACATGGCCATAGTAAATTCTTACTTCAGTATCCTATGGGTTTATGCAGGAGACTGAATTCCTAACAAAGGTTTAAGAGATCAACACGGATGAGGATTGTAGGGCCAAAATACATTTATGATCATAAACAATAAAGTAAATAAAAAATAAAAAAGAAGAAACGTTTTTACTAAAAAGCCAGAATTAACTGTTTTGATTAAATGCGAGCTACTCAATCTGGTTATTCTTTACCTATTAATCTTAACATCTTATAGTGTAGAAATGTTGCTGAGCATAAAATCAGTCGTGAAAGGAAGAAAAATGTGAAAAATAAGAAAAAGAGAAATGGATTTTATTATCCGTGGTTAGGAGAGAAGACAGGTCTTTTCTTACCAATAATTACCCTTGAAGAAAGCAGAAACTGAGAAAGAAGACAAAGTCAACAGGACAGTTTAATTGTTTTAGTAATTGGTACGTTTATATATGTCAATTATGAATATAGTGTAGTAGACATGTTACTGTGAAGGCTGTTTGAGGACATAATATTAGTGGTTAAAACACAGTCTAACTGGTGTCAATAGTGGCTTGAGACTGTGAGCCAAAGGAATAATAAAAACTTTTTTTTTAAAATAGAAAAGTACACCTTACTCAAGCATTTCAGTCAGAAGACTACTAATTTGGGTGTATAATGAACTTCGTAAAGCTCTTCTTTCTTCCAAGAGGTAATAGAAGTCCAGAAACAATGGATGTAGAAGCTTGTGTAATCAAAAGTAGTACTGCTCAGTGTTTATACTTTTGATTGTATTTACAGCACTGTGGCTCATGGCCTGCAATGAGCATTCCTTCTATTGTCTCAAAACAGTCACACCCGGGCCCCCAGCATTTACGCCCTTGCTTCGGCACAAAGTAAAAACAGAATGAAATACCCCTTCGGTGGTCTTTCTTCTCTTTTTCTTTGCTGGAACAATGGACTTTCGGCTGACTGTCCAGCTCCAGAAGACTTTGTAGTGATGCACAGGAATGTCTGGTTCCTCTGACAGGTTCCAGCTCAGCCTGGCTGTGCCACTTCCCTCACTGTTACTGGTCATGTTGGTGATTCTCAGATCGGATGGGGTGGGAGGCGCAGAGGGATCTGCAATGGAAAGAGCAACACTTTAAACTAACCTTTCCTCAAACAATTACCTTACAAATATTTACTGTGGTTAAAAGCACAGTATCTTACTACAAGTAAAATCATGGTCAAAGCACAGTGAAGGAGGCTGAGACCACAGCCAAATAAAAGACAGAAAATCTGAATTTACCAAAGCAAACTTTATGTACATACGTATTGCCTATCATTGCGAAGCTTAGTGATATGGTCCGCAAAGTTCCTTATAATGAAACATGGAACAAAAGACTATCTTTAACCTAAAATAAGTTAAATGATTTGCTTATGTATGTGACTATAACTGGTCCATTCAGGACTTTCTATATTGACATTATTGTAGCAAAAAACTGCATTCTTGACTTTTCACTGCATAAAGTATGGGAGAGGTGACCAACTTGATATTCTGAGCTGCATAAAAATATTCTTTAAAAAAAAGGGTGGAGCGGTGGCACTGTTGCTAAGGATCTGCGCCTGTGGCTAGAAGGTTGCCTGTTCAAATCCCATGGCTGGTAGAGGAATCCTACTCCATTGGGCCCCTGAGCATGGCCCAACTGCTCCAGGGGTGCTGTACAATGGCTGACCCTGTGCCCAAACCCCACACTTCTCTCCATGTTTGTGTGTCTGTGTCTCATGGAAAGCAAGCTGGGGTATGTGAAAAGATGAATTCCAATAGCAAGAAATTGTATATGGCTAATAAAGTGATCTCTTAAATGGGCAAAAGTGAAAGTCACTTCAGAGTAAAGCACCAGTTAAATAGTAATAATTATTAGAAAGAAAAAGTAATTCTCTGCTCTAACAATCATTCAACATACTGACTCATGAAAATTGCAGAAAAGGTATTATAAAATTAATACCTATTTTATAAGGATTCTGTATAACACAGCTGGTGTTCAGTAAGCCAGAACCAAAATAGTTTAATCAACAGCTCAAGCATAGATTCAGACTTTCACCGTTGTACAGCACAAAGCAAAATAATACAAGAGTGATGGTCTTAAAGGTTTGTTATGAATGCATTTAATATTAAATGACTTTACCTACTTGTCAGAATCCTGAAATACACTTACTGTATCTGATTTTCTGGATTTCTACAAATCTGCATTCCTTAGGGCATTTTTAACTAATTTACATGTAAACGTGTGCCCATCATTTTGAATATAAAACACACTTGCTCTTCCTTTAAACACCACATGCATCTTTAAAGCCCTTTAATTACACTGTTTAAAATACTTTGCATTATAAAAGAGACAAACCATTTTCTTCAGTTTTACACTTAGTAAATAATAGCTTTGTGCTTTAGGTAAATAAACAGAGAAGCTGCAAATTAAGGTTGTGTCATTAATTAAGTGTATTGTAAATAGTCAGGCATTAAAACGTATTCCAGCTTTTCAGACCATGCCATTAGCTTTAATGTACTGTATACTCCTATTGGCATGCTAAACAATTATTCCTCAGGAACATAAACTGGTGTAAAAGTCAGAAATAATGCATGAAAGGTCTCTTAGATCTACAAGATATTTTGATTTTATTTTAAAACTTATTGTAAACTATAAGCCTGATTTCCCATAACTGGAATTTGGAAACAGGGTTGCCAAGATCAAGATTTATTTTTTACAATCAAATTTTGGAATACATTGCTACAGAACATAATTGAGTTTCTCAATAATTAAATGCAGTATGCATTGTCCTTACTCATTAGTTTTTTGTATTAGAAGTAATACAAATGTAAAGCAGAAATGTTTTTGTGGTAGTTTCAAAACCCCAAATAATCACTAAATGTGGATTACCCTATATCAAAGTAGATTAGCAAATCCAGATCTAGTGCTAATCAGAGCCCATGAAACCTATATTTCCTATAGTATGGTATATTAGTTTATTGGAATTCATTTATGCATTTTAATGGTCATTTTGAGCTTTTTTGTTATTTTACAAAGGCAAGACACTTTGGTCAAAGGCTCTTCTTTCAAGGAACAAATTGTGCTCTTGCTTAGTTTGCCAAAAGCACTCCAATATATTTTTGTGCTTCTTTTTACTTTGGCAACCATCTGGTTCTCTATTAATTGGCGCACATACAGTATACAGTACATAACAGTTTACTTCTTTAAGCCTCTTTTTTATTTCAGTTTGGAAAACTTCAGTTTTCAAATATATACATATATAAATATACATATATAAAGCTTTGATATTAATTTTCCCTTTGCATATAAACACTGGATATGAACATTATGTCAAAACATCCTAATCCTTAGTAAAATCAGTATGCAGCTTTATTCAGATTAAACATACTGTACTCAAATTCTGTGATATGTTAACGTAAATAATAACAGTTTTGAGAGCTTGATTTTGGAAGAAAAGACGAGAAGACTCAAAGAAGGTACCTGCTGGATGTGAGACTATCTTTTTGATTATTTATCCCAAGAACCACAAAAAAGACGTCAGCATACACATCACATGTCTTATTATTTCAAGGAATTCTTTTACTCACGATTTTTTCTGGTGTTTTCAAGAGTCTATACTCTCGATTTTCTTGCAGTGATAACTAGACAGTCTTAATGATGATAAATGTAGCACTGGAAAAATTAATGAAATTCTATCAACTACAGAATTTGTAATGACTTTATGACCGATGATGTCAGTGTTACTCTGCCAAAGAATACCAGATGTCAAATGAAGAGCAAATTGGCTTTAATGACAAAATGATTGAAACTGAGATGGTAAAAGTCTTTAAATTTTGTCTTTTCCCACCTGAAACCTATTTAAGCTAGTTGAGAATGCAATTGGATGCAGCATAGCAGGGCAGTGACGAATGTGATCTGTGTAGTGTAAATAAGCCCCCACTGTTTCAGAAGATTCCAAAACAAATTACAGGGTCACAAATCTTATTCGGGAGATATACCATGACTACATAAATAACTAGGAAATGGAAGATTTATCAAGCCAACTCATCCATTCAGTGGGTGGTTAACATTAATCCCCCGAAATTGTTATTCTGTGTTTATTTGATTTGATTTGCTCAATGTTAATAAATAGAACACGATCTTTTCCCAAGAGGCACTGTCCTTTTCCTGATCCAAAGTACAAAGGAGTACTTACATTCTTTAACATACGTAGTTATAACCTTTACAGAAATAAAATAAAAAATCCCTGTCTTTGGAATTGCCCAATGCCCCATGGGAAGTTAATGTATGCCGACCGTGTTAGTGCATATACATGCCTATAACTATATTCTGCATGTGGTTACATTTATTATGAGGGGCAATACCTGGCATTTTTAAATTAACAGTCTCAGTAAGTACAGTAGGTCTGTTTTGCATTCAAATGTCTTTAAGTCATTTAAAAGTCTATACAGTAACAAAGGTCACATTTTATTAAGCTGGCTACAAAACTGACCTGTTTTTGTCAAGAAAATAGAGGCCAAAAATCAAGCAGTTAAATGTGAAATACCTCAGATGAAGACTTTTAGAAATTTTTACACCTTGTCCTAAAGTATTAAGTTTCAGAAAACTTGGACTAAAAAGCTGGCACATCTCCTTAGCGAGGCTGAATGTTAGGAGATAAGTCCAACAAACAAGGCACATACAGTAGCTCGCTTTCTCCCATTTTGTGTTCTTTATTTATTTTTAATTGTGAATTTTTTTCAACTGCACCATGGATGTCTGCTGTGTTTTGGTCATGCTCGGCAAAAGAGAGTTTCAACAGCAGCCCCTGCTCTCTCCTCAGTAGATACAGTAGATGGGAGAGTTAGAGGTGGGCCTATACAGTATATGTTTAAGAGAAAGCTAGGAAATCTCTATCTGCCCTTGTCAGAGCAAAACTGGAAACTGAGAAAGAGATTGGCATGCTCAGGGTTTGAGACAGATTGTGTGACTGGTCCCTTGAGACAGAAACAATTACTGAACTCTTACAGCTTCGGGTTGTTATGTTTGACTTCTTAAAAAAAGTATTGATTCCATTTGCCACCAGAAATCACCATTACTATTATTTTCTTAAACTGAGAACAATTAATTTTGATTACACCTACAGTATTAATCACAGTTGCAAAAGCCCTTCCAATTTTAGTATTAAAAAATTGAAACATTCTTCTTATTAGGACTGAGCACACAGTATCAAAAAACAAAGGAAAGGGTGCCTTTTTCAATGCAGTCTGATTTCCTAAATCAAGGTACTTTCTTTACTCCAAAAAACAGATGCAGCTTGTTAAACCTCAGATGTGATGATAAATTACCCCGGTATAATACCCAGCCATAATTTTTACCATGGTAGCTACATGTAAAAACTCTAAATTTTCATTACACTCTGACTGGCTTCAACAACTTAGCTAAATCTAGGTAAATTCAGCTAAAGGCTTTAGCCTGTGCATCCCTATAAGGAAGCCTCAAAGGCTCCACCCGTTTAGAATTTGTAGCTGTAGCTAATAAAAAGAATAGGGGTTCAGCCACAGTGGTAGAACCTACAGGACAGTGCTGAAAATCAGGAAGGGGGACACCAACCTTTGGAGGAGTGGAAGTGTTTGCTGGGGGCAGTGAAGCCTCTGGTTCCATGAACATTGACAGCAGCCACTCTGAACTGATACCACCTGCTGGCTCTGATGTCCGACAGCCGCACTCGCTCCTCTGTTGTCTGTACAAGCAGATGGGGGAGAGATCAACTAAAGTGGTCAAGGGTGTCCTTTTTATTAAGACACCTCACACACAGGGCAGTTACTCAACACACCATGTCCCATTCTTCACACCAGCAAGTGTTCCTTTTAAAATTTAATCAAGCTTAATCAAGCTGCTTAATCACAGAAAAAAGGGTGTTTGTCAAAGCTCTGTATCTTTTCACAGCATGTGCAGTGGCTTATAAAACACACTTTTTGCCTGTTTGTGAAGGACAGTTCTGTGTGGAGTACCACCAGGAGTAACTGTGCATGTCATGATTTCAAAGGGAACAATTACATATTGTACTGATTTTCAAAAATCAAGTGTGGATGAGATTATACAAAATGTGGGAGGAGATATGATGGGTCATATTTGGACATTTAATTTGTGTTAAACCTTTCTGTAAGCTATTCCTATTATTTATTTTTAACTAATGGACATGAAAAAACACAGGATATAAAATAATTTTAAACCATGGACTGTATAGATCCTAATTAAAGTTTACAGTAAAATAAAATCAATGGAATCAGTTGTACAAATCTTATATTTATATTTATAATGTATTATTATAAATTAATAAACTGCTGTTGTTGCTGCTGCTGCTGTTAACCCAAGTTTCCAGTTAAAGTAATGAATTTGGTATGGCTGAACCAGTAAAGCATTATTATGGGACATTCATGGTCAGTAAGTGCAACTGTCACAGCAGATCCTCAAGAATGTAGTCTGTGGAATGACTTTGAAAAGGGATTAATCCATTCTCACAGAGGCTGCAATTTTATTGTTTTAAAGAAATCTTTAAACATTCAACTAACTTAAGACCTGGGAAAATTATTATTTTGATTAATTATATCCCAGCAGTTACAGATGTGCTCTGTAATCTAAAGGTTTGCTCAACTTCTTTTGTCCTGTGTGGCATTAAGCTGATTAAGCCTGGCATGTAGCATGTGCTCAGAAGAAACTGGATCACGTGTTCCTAAAATAATAAAAAATAATAAGGTTACAATAAATGGTTACCATTACTGGTTTATAGGCTGTAGTTTATATTATAAATCAAATAGTTATGTATTTATATGATGATGTTTCTATTTAAATGTATAGAATTCTGAACTTCACCATCTTGTACAGTAAGCAGACAGCTTACATACTGTACCTGTGCCACTGTCTGCCAGTCTGTGGCATCATCCTCACTGGGATGTATTCCATAGTTCCACCTCCTTTGCACAACATAAAGAACAGGTTCCACAGAGATGTTGAACTTAGAGGACCATTTGATCTCCAGCTGGCCATTCGGAAGCTCCGTGAAGCTCAATTCCTTCCTGGGCTTCAGTGGAGCTCCTGGAAATTAAGAATTTATTAGACTTCTTACAGGCATGAGCTTTATAACTAGCCATGGTTAAAACAGAACACGTGCAGACAAGTTAACATGTCAGATTAACAAGTAGTTAAAATAAGACTTTGCAATACTATTTACTAGATCGTATTCTGGTGTAGCATCACATTCATGTGACACAAGAACATATTAGAATTTCTCCCACACTCACACACACAGAAAGAAGCGAGAAATACGTTTCTTGAATACTGACATACTTGTTGTATAACATTTTCATCATCTGATCTAATTGAAGGGAAAAAAATGAGATCTAGTGGAACAAGTTCGCAACAAAAAAGTAAGAAGCTCTGGAGTTTTTGTTTAAAAGATTCAAATGAATTGCCAACAGTGCTTGAAGAAAGGAAACTTCACAAAACGAACCCCTTGTCTTTTAACTCTCTTATACCTCACAGTTAACAAAGCAATGTCATCTTGTGAATTGCTCACAGGAAATCCTTAAGCCAGCAGTGCAGCAATATAATACATAAAACATTCACCAGTTATGATAGAGTAACAATTATAAAAAAATGCCTTTCATCTTCAGACCTGTGTTCTGCTCCATCCTTAATCCTTTCAGTTCTAATTGACATTTCTTTGCTCTGTGGATGTTTGAAAGCTACTATTTAACAATTCTCTGTAGGTTTATCATATGGAGAATAACAAGAGTGTTGAATTGTTTAAAAGTTACTGTTGTTCCAAGATGTATGTGTATGTGTCTTTAGGCATGTTAGACTGGCTCCATAAATTAAATATTCCAAAACAAAGAATTTCAGAGACCGACTAAAGGGTAATAGGTTTATTGTGTACAGAGTAGTGTAAAAGAGAAAAGTTCTTAACTGAAATGCCATTGTCCTCCATCGCAATCTGTGTTAGCAATGACTACTTTTCCATTATCAGAAAGCTGCTTGTCATGGTAAAGATCTGGTAAGGATCACAGCAACCTAGAGCCTATCTTGGGGGCACAGGGCACAAGGCAGAACTATACCTTGAATGGGATACAGGGATCACACACACATACATGGGCAATTTGAGATGTAAACAAATAACAAAGGGAACAGCTGGCCATGGTATGGTCATCAAACTAGGTGGTAGGTTTTTGAACAGACAGAACCAGTTTGGATTTCTCCAAGGAAACACATAGAGAGATAATTCTGCCCTGAATGACCTTTTTAGCGACTTGAAAAATGCTTTGAGCTTGGCCCTTGGATTCAATTAGACAAATACAAACAAGTCTCAATTAGTTCAAGGAAGAAGACATTGTAAGATATCATTTTGAGTATAAGAGTAATGTTTTTATTATTAATACTATGGTAAACCCTTGGTTTAATGGGCTAATGGGGAAAGGGGTGTCGGTTATTGCAGACCGTCCATTAAATCAGTAAGAGAATGTCCTGGGGAGGAAGGGTGTAGCCTTGAAGTTATTATCGATCTGGTGTAGGCTGGAGGAGAGCTCTTGAATCAGTGTGACTTGAAAATCTTTGTGGTTCTCTTAAAAAGTGGAACAGGTTTTCACAGAGTTTCTTGTTTAACAAGGTTAATGATGGGTGATAAGATGGTTTAAATGTTAAAAGACAGAAAAATCTTAACACAATTAAACTTTACAACAATATTTTAACAATTATCAAAATCTAACAACCACATGACTAAGACAGACCAAATGGCCTCCTTTCCTTTCTTCTTCTCAAATAATAAATACTTACATTAGGAACTGGCACGGAGAAAAAAACATTTCTAAATTATTGTATCATTCAGGACTTCATTGGCTTTTGTTTTGAAACTCCTTCAATCATCGGAAAAACACAGAAAAAGCTCTTGTAACACTTCAAAACTTCCACTACCTACTCAAACAATATATGAACTCTCCAGCTTTATAATGTGAAAGACACCACATTAGCCAACTCAAAGAGAACATACTGTACAATGTAATGCAGTAGTGCTTTTTGAAAGTTGTCTCTTTAATCCATGATCCATCTAGCAAATCTTAGTCAATAAAACAGACATCACAAAAATTCTTTTTTTTTGTGACCTATCCCGATAATAATGTGGAATAATTTTACTAATTTGCATGTAAAAATATTTCTCATCTGCTCTGAATTAGGGGCTGTTAGAGTTCCAACAGTTAGTAGTAACTTAACCTCTCTGGTGGATATAATTGTGTGCAGATGGATTAGTAAGGTACAAAAAACAGTATGATTGAAGAATGTTGTTCTAGTTTACTTTCAGTATGTGTGCACACACAACAGCCAAATTTTGCAGATTTGCACACCTTTGCAAATCAGCTCTTCTTTCTTTTTTCCTATCTGAATATGTGGTCTCTTTCAATGGTGTTAAAAAATCAGCAAAAACTCCCACAGTATATCTAGCTGTTGTATTTTTGAGGAATATATCAAACCAAAAGTATTTCTGGGGATGTATTAAAATTTATAAACACAAAAACATGTATTTAACAGTTAACACAGTCTACAGGTTTAATGGGTGACAGACTTTGTTCATAATAACTAATTACAAACAGAACACAATGAAGTCAATTACTGACATAAGGATTTTAGGTTTAACTGAACTGATATTGAGGTTTTATGACTTGATCATCTTTTAATACTTTCCATCTTATTGGATAGCAAAAACCATGATCAGACATAAAAACATGCATGTATTGTTGAAGTGATTCAACTGAAGAATTCGAATTTTGTTTCTTGTTTACAATTGGTCCCATATGTTATCCTGTAAAGTACTATTTTTATTGCATTTTTGTCCATATCATAGATTATTTTGTCTCAATTACAAAATGTCTTAAACATCCAGTTTTCAAATTACTTAAATGACATTGAAATATACAATCCAAATCATTACACAAGAACAAAGCCAATAAATAAAAAATTGACAGATATCACTAACCTCAGCACATATGATTAACTGATCTGCAATGTATTTTATCTGTCACCTAAGTAGTGATAGCACAATAGTATAGAGTAGTTAACTGTGTTGTTCAAACACCAACAATATATGATTTTCCATTAAAGGTCTCTTGATTCACAAATAGAGTCTGGAAAACAAAACTGATTTGATTCTAAGTATTAAGTGTATTCCCATTAAATATCAGGGGAGGTGACTGCAAAGTCAGTTCATTTCTCATTTGTATTGATTTGTTACTCACACAAGCACAAACCTAACAGCAACTCCTTATGTGCAGCTGAAAGTCTAGGAGCCTTTCAAATACACTCTAAGGTGAGAAATGTTTTCTGAAAACTCACAAGCTCCTTGGAAAAAGACTCTCCTTCAGACTGCTCATATTTCAGTGTTACAGAGCTCAAACAGTGCTGCCTGCCAATCTTTTGTGGTTTCACTATCTGTCACACCTCCAGCAAAACGTGTAGCACAATGAAAATCTCTCAGCATTTTCTTCCTACCCAAAAGTGATTCATCTTCCATAGAGCAGGCACACAGCCAACACCAGAAACATGATATAATTATGGTAGTAAGACTAACCTTCCAATTAATGTGTAATGATGCTATCGTACTAGTCATTTCTAAAATATTAAATACTTGACCCAGCCTCTCCTCCACATAAATGCTTTCTAGTCTTCTTCAAAGCTCCAGGGCACATAAATAACTAGGTGTGAGCACTAAGATCCAAAACAAATTGCAGTCTTGCCATTCCTTTTACATCAGACCAAACACAGGCACTTTCATTTCCATCTTTTGATCAGTTTCTACACAATTTGTAACTCCCAGGGACACTCATTCAGTACTGATTGCACAAGAGGAATTTCTGTTTACAAAAATAACAAATTGACCCTTTCCAGCAGCTATAGGAAAGACTCCCAGTGAATTTCACATCACATCACAGTGAAAAAAATGTGAGCAAAAATTAATGATGCCAAATGTCAACAGAGGCTCCCTCTGCCAATACAACTTGACAGCTGCTAAACTTTCTAATGTTTCTAGACCATGAAATTTAAGAATTTCCTCAAATTTATCATTTCCACAAGGTTCCCAGGACAACAGCTGTCGATGCATAAAATATTAATGAAAAAAGCACATAATCTATTAATGAATAAAAAAGGCACATCTCACACATGAAAATCCTGCTGGATTTTTGTACACGGTTTCATCTGTCACTCTTTGGTTAAGTCTATGACGATGACTTATTAATCACTTTATTAAAAAGAGGGTAAAACTCCATAAAGTCTGTTACAGGAAAGCTTCATGTTTAGGATAAAGAAATGCACACTAGAAATTAATGCAGTTTCTTTTTAATAAGTAAAAATTCATTTTTTGTATAGTTGCTATCAGTTGACATGCTTTTGCCAGTGCAGTTAAGAAATGGCGGTTCGTTTCTGCTTGAGAGTGTCTGCACCCTGCCTTCCTGAATGAGAACTGAACCTGTTTCTTGTTTGTTTTCCAAACGAGTCTGCTGATTGTTAAAGCAAATCACGCCATTCCATCAGCAGCCCCTCTCTTGGATAGACCTTCAAAAAGTTTGACAGCATTTTGTTTTGTTACAGAAACATGAGGTCCCTTACTCAAACCAACAGGTTTTCTTATCATATAACTTCAACTGAGTAAAAGTTTATCCTATTGAAAACAATAACACAGCAAAACAATTAACCACAAAATTCATTATTTTACATGCCTTTCAGTTCAGCAAATTTCTGGTGTCGAGTTTTCATTGTGCTTCAGTCTATACACTAGAAGTATTTTTGTGTGACTCTCACGCTTTTCAAAAACAAGAACTTCAAATCAAATATAACTTAGCATATTGTGAAAGGAAGGTTTTCATTCAGCCAGTATTGCATTACAATACCCAGTAGCTGTGAGAAAAACAAACTACCTGTATCTAAAGGTACTGATATGTAAAAAAATTCATCTTCATAAGTATGTTGACTATAGATATTTAAACAAATTTTGGAAATGATGTTGGGAAAAGTGCCCTTTCAGCTTTGCACATTATAAGTCCTGATCTATCTGCATTGCAGAGAGAAACACATTATGTAATTAACAAGAAACTTCTGACACTGAGCCAATTAGATTGGATTAACTAGAACACTTCATACTTGCTGCTCATAAACAGGTGTTTTGAGATTCTAATCACTGTAAAATTGCTAAATGTGAAACTAAGTTTCATGACTGCATTAATAACAAAGATGTTACAATATTAGAAAACATTATTCTTGTAAAAGTTTTATGATCATATCATATACAAATTGTAACTCCTGATATTGTTTTTTGCAATGCTGAAACTTCAGCATCAAAGCAGCATAAAAAGGGAAGGTATTTTTGACTCATTAATGATTCAGTGGCATTACTATCCACACAGAATAAAGTATGCCACTGTTTTTCCTTTGCTACCATTAAAGTATGATCTTTCATTTATTATTGTTAATAATTTCTTATTAAAAGGTTACCAATGATATGATGGTGATAATCATCAGCATTTTTATTATTTTTAACCCGGGAAATAAATAATGGAGTTTATGTGAGAATAATATAATATATTATTCGTTAATTACATTGCCTTGTGTTAACTTGGTAATTATCATATACACAGCAGGTGTGTATAACTGTGTGGTAATAAGTGGGCTGTCCTTGACTACAATTTTGGTTGTTTTATTATCTTAGTTACAATGTCCTCCAAAAGATTTAAGACAGGAAAGCCTGAACTGGAATTTTCACTATGAACTCTAATAATGTACAGTAATTTTTCATAGAAAATTGTGATTAATATGTACAGCTCTTAAGTCTTTTATTTGATGGTCTATTTAGTTCTATCTTCTTGTGTCACATAAACAAATCAACAGTACTGAACCTCTTTATTTTGAAGTACGGAAAGTGTTGAGACAATCGGCTGACAGGTGCCTCTTGTCAGTCTGGTGTTTACTGTTCAGTAATTAAGGCACTCAATTAAGACATTTTGAACAGCCTCTCGTCCTGTTTCACTTGGACTTCTGTGTTGGGAGCCCATAATAGACACACACAATGAAAACCAGAGGATTTTCTCATGAAAGCAAGCATTTCTGAAGTGAAAAGGAAAACTCAATCAGAACCATAGCACAGAAATCAGGCATACCAAATCAACAATTTGGTATATAGTGAAGGAGAAAGAAACCACAGGTATAATTGCCTCTCAGCCAAGACTGGGCCAGCCAAGAAAAACATCTGCAGTTGATGACCGAAAAATTGTCCGAGCTGTCAAAGAAAACCCCAAAACAACTGTCAGTGAGATCACCAATAACCTCCAGAGTGCAGGGGTGATGGTATCAAAATCTACAGTTCACAGAAAACTGAGACAGCAGAATTAAAGAGGCCACACCGCAAAATGTAAACCCCTCATCACTACCAACTCAGAAAAAACAGATTGGAGTTTGTTTAGTAGTGCAGGGATGATCCAGGCAAGTATTGGATCATTTTCAAGGACGGATGTGACCAATATAAACGTTTATCAAAGCAGTCTTAAGCTTAGAATCTGGAGAAATGGCTGCCTCTGGAATTGGCTCACTCATGTTTATGGATGATGTAACTAATGATGGCAGCATCAGAATAAATTGTGAAATTTACAGAGACATTTTGTGTGATTACGTATAAGACAATGACCAAAAAGTAATCCAACCATGAAGTACATCAGGAGCAAAAAGTGGAAAGTCTGAGACTGGCCAAGTCAATATCTTCAACTGGATTTAAATCTGAAAGTACGTTATATGCTAAACAAAAGAAATAGGACAAAACACCTCAATAACAAACAAAAACTCAAAAAGTGCAGCAGAAGTTTGGCAAATTATCTTAAATGATCATACACAAAGTTTGGGGAGCTTAATGGGATGCAGAATTTATGCAGTTATTGCCTCAAAGGCATGTGCACCATATACTTTTACTCCCTGAAATTTAAAGTGAATATGTCCCAATACTTATGGTTACTTGAAATTACTGGATTGAACACAAAGTATGTTTTTGTCAAATGTACAGTATGCATAGCACTACTCTAAATAAAACATATATTGTACTTCTCATTCATATAAAGGAAATACAAATTGCTTTATTTCAAGGTGAAAGTAAGACTTAATTTTGCTGTCTCAATAATTTTGAGGGCACTGTATTTTGGAACAGGCTTCTATCAACCGTACTTATAGACACTTTGGAAAACAATGTAGGACCACCTCATAAAAATTAACAAAACTGAGTTAAGTAATTATAGATCAATGAATTTGACTTATATATACTGTATGTTGGGTTGTGCAAGAATCATCAAGATGACAAGATGAAAGGATTTAAACGTTTTTAGTCCTGAACAAAAATCTCTTCATTTTCTAACTGCTTCTTCCAATTGCAAGGCAGCAAACACCCTGAGCAGGCAGACAAACAGACGCACAAACCAGGGTCAATTCTGACAGAAATCAATTTGCCTACTTGTATGTTTTTGGACTGTAGGAGGAAACCAGAGCACCATGGGGGAACCCTTGCAAACACTGGGAGAATATACAGACTCTATGCAGATATTGAAGTCAATATCATCATGTCTTTCAAGTACAAAGTTTGAATGGCTCCTCAGATCAATTATTTATTAGCAAACATGCAATATGGGCTGAATTACCTCATCTCTAACATTTCTTACACACTTACATACAGTATATTGTAAATTATATTGTATATTGTATGAAATATGATTAACCCGTTTTGATGAACTTTGGTGAGCTGTGATCCAGTGCCACCAATAGCTCTTTGGTTGAATTAAAGAAGTAAAGAACTGTTGTAATTTTTGAAAGTTCAGCGCAAGACACAAATGAATTCTATTTAAATCTCGGAGCAGCACGATCGTCTAGTCAAGAATGAGCGCTTCAGAAACAGAAAGGCTCTGCCAAGAGAAGCAGCTGTCATCTCGTCTGCAGCCCGTTCTGTTGTAGCTCCCTCCAGAGGATGACCTACCTTTGTAGAGGTTTCTGGGCAGCTGGCACGTGTGTCCACAGCCGTTGGAGCAGCACTTCTTGACACCCGAGCACTCGCCGTCGTCCTCGCAACTCTCCACGCAGGCGGCAGCGAACCCACTGGCCCTCTCTGGGGCGGGGCAGTCGCCCTGCTTCACCGCCTGCGTCGACCTCAGGAACTCGCAGCTGGTCAGGCACTCGTAGTGCTTCTTCGGGAACAGAGGCTGCCGGTGGCAAGGAGGAGGAAGAGGAGGGAAACGGAACACGAGTGCCCATTGTTTCCGTCATCATTTTCGAAAATAGAAACTTGGCATTACCACCACTGATATTTCTGAAATCTCTCAGGTTGGCAAGCTATTAATAAGTTACTACCTTGCGAACCTTGCAACTCCAACAATCTACTATATCCATCATTCTCCTGACTTTATTACATAGCAAAAACAAACATTAACATGTACAAGTTAACATTATTAGAATTGTTAACTCCACTTTGAAAATGTGAATTATACAACACTTATAGATAATAGATATAATAATAGACACACTGAATTCCCAGCACCTTAAAGTTGTACAGTATGTCCTGCATTGTGCATAGAGAGGCTCCAATGCCCTTGAGACTAACTGTAGAGATTTCTTTATCACTTAAACATATATTCCACAAACCTTGTAACATAAGATAAAGCATGTATATCTGTCAACCAAAAGCAAGCAGAATTGACAACAGGGGCAGCATATGAGGGCAAATTCCTGTGCCACTCCAGGTCTTCCATCTTCATGTCAAGTCACAATGCTAAATAACACATCTGTTAATCGTTCAAAGTAATTTGGGATCTTCGATAAAACTTTTCTATAGTTTAGATTCTTTTTAAACCTACCTCACACAAGTTCTGGCACTGAGTCTCCTTCAGATCCCAGGCTTCCTTGCAGGGCTCCAGGCACTGAGGAAGAGAACAAAGTGTCAGTACCTCAAAGACGCCACATCAAAGAGCAAGTCTGTGCCTGCAGCCAGCCTCCTTCCCTCGTGCCAACCAATTCTTCTGAAGCCTCTGCGGTAAGTATGCAAGTACCGATTCTGCTCAAAACAAAGGACATGTTCATTATGAAAATGAGGACTGATAATGAACACTGCAGTACCCATTCAGAAAAAAATCCCATTTACAATAGAAATCACAGGCTTATCAGAGCTGGGTTTCCTAATAGCATATGCTCGGTGCTAACACAAATTCTTGCTCTCTGAACCATTTGGAGTGGTATTGTGATCTTAAACTCTAAACTATGTTATGAATGCCAGACCTGTCCTCAAGAATTTGCCTTAAAAATTGTTTTTTTTAATTGCTTTAAAAAATCAGAAGAGCATCACAGAAGAGCAATCAAGTTCTTATCATCTATAGAAAGAATTAATTTCTATGAATACAAATACATGGGTATTAATCTTGAAATGTCTTTTTTTACTGCAAGACTACCTCTGGTTTTATTTACTAAAAGGAAATCTGTTGAATTTATGTTACATGACAGAAAAAACCTTTTGGTATACTCATGTACTGTATTGAGTTAGTAGACAGCTACTCGGTGGAGCTTCCCAAATTTTATGAAAGTAAAATCTAATTAGTGGTAATGGGCAATGGGATTCAGATGGTATGTGTGGTTTTATATTTGGCAGCCATAATTCAGTGACGGTTCTGTATGACTGTATTGTGAATTTCCCATCCAATTAAGACATTTAAACACATACAGATTGAAACACCCAGGTAAAAAGTACATTTCTTCTGCACATCCTTTAATATACCCAGTAATTTTAAAAGGAAGATTTTAATCCTCTTCAACTCAAATCATTATTAATTAAAACCCTGTACCTAAAACTTGTAAAACTCATAAAAGGGTCCATAAAAGTAGAAATCCCTATGAAACAAGGCAGGAGTACACTTAGGTGTGGTAATATAAAAGGGATCTCAATATTAAGCGCCTGTTTACAATTAAAATGAACAAAAGCACAAATAAGTAAATAGGAATTTACAACATAATTATATAATTATAAAAGCCTTCTTTTATATTTGTGACCCTCAGTTTTATTAATGATCTGTTAAACACATAACCACACTTATACTTACTGTTTATTGAATGGAATTTAACATGTCAGAGTGTATTAGAACAATATATTGTTCTATACAGCTGTTTCCAGGATTTCTGTAACCACTAAAAAGCACTTCTAATTTTCTTTTCAAATTTAACCCTTGTTGAATTTATCATTAAGTCATAATGCAGGACACGTGACAAAAGGAAATACTGGCAAAAACATTTGTTTGAACCCAGCTTTATTCCATTTTTAACAGTGTTTAAGTTTAAGATTGTTTTCTCTGCAGTGCATTAATACTTTCTTTTGCATTTTAAAGTGAGAATTTTAGGAAAACGTGAACTGAACTTGTTGCTATGTTTTGTTTGAAAGGTAAACTCAAAAACAATTAAAGGGGATGAGGAATCTAGAATAAATGATTTTAACAATTTATCTCCTAAAGATCAAGTTGTGTATTCTTTGCCTGTCAGCAGGAAATGCATAGCAATTGCTGTCAGTTCATGATTTCACATAATGTCTATGTGGAACTTTTTAACATCCTGTTTTGTGAATGCTGAATTCTGGTAAAGTGCCATATAAGAAGGTGTTTTCTGTTAGACCAACATAAGAATGGAAATCGACAGTTAGCAAGTCATATGATGTATGTGCTAATACTTTGTTTGTTACACTGTATAAAAAGACTAACTTTATAACCGTTCAGGGAGACTGCCTTTGGTAAGCTACTCTCCCGCTTGCAAGCGTTATAAACAACTCTTCTTTCACCAACATCAGGACTCATTTACACTACAGGGCCAAGATGCAATGAAGCTTTCACATGGGATAGAAAGCAATCTTACAGACTCTTAACCCCTTCTGTGAACTCAGTCTGCTTCTGACAAGCTTCCATCCACTCCAGTACCGTTCATTTCAGAACCTCCTCACTAAATGAACGTAGGTTCAGTTCAATTCTAGCACACTACTAAATGTTTGTGAAATAAAAACCTGATAAAAGCTTGTTTCAGATACTAATGTGATTGGTTTTGCCCTGAAGTTGTTTTAGTTGACAATTGCCACCCTGTTAGCCATCGCAATGAAAACCACTGCACCACAGACACAGTATCTGTGCCAGGTCTTGGGCTCCATCAGAGCCACAGCTGAAGAAGAAAATCGTCCAAACCCATATGACACAGTATCTGCCAGAAAAACACTTTTCTTTCAAAAGTTAACACAGCCCTGCGTTCCAGACTCCATAACTGCCTTCAATCTTTCATTTTAAAGCTTTAAGATTTTGTTCTGAAGGGAACAAAGGGGAAATCTGAAGGGAAATCTATGATGAATGAGTATCAAGAAGTTGGTGCACTTTCTTTAAACAGACTGAACAGATAAGTGTCTCCATTATAATCCACATCTAGACCAACCTTCCAGCTACAGTATGTGTAATAATGGTGATGATAACCCATGATAATGATGATGTTATTTTTTTTCTACTACAATGGGGTTGGGTGATAATGGTCCTGTTGTTTGCAGTGCCAGCATCTTATTGCCCCATGCTACATGACCATGCCATGCTCAAGATCCTCCGAACAGTGGTCATGGAGGAGTTTGGCTTTCTATGATGAATTCCTGCTGTAGCTGGTGGCATTATACTAATAAGATGTTAAACCAAGATCCTGATTATCTGGTCATTAAAGATTCCCCTGGCACTGTTTATAAGAGTAGGAATTCCTTACCCCAGTGTGCTGACTTAATTCTACTTTGAGCCTTCACAATCTGGCCATCCTAAACCTCCCTCTTAAATCATCTAGCAGTTTCCCACCTTGCTGCCTGAAGCGTGTCATTAATATCCACATAGTCTAGGTGGGGCTTCCCTTCAGTGGTGGCGAAAGTTGGTTCCCTCCTATATGCAAGTTTAGATGAAAGCACAATAGAAATGTAAAGAATTGTAATGAAGTTTTCAAGAAGCATCTGATGTAACACCTTTGAGATCAAACCACATGCTAATATGACAATTGGAGTCACCCACCCACTTGCTAGAGGTGAATATTGTGCTTCAAATCAGCTAGCAGATCCTGATAATTCTGCATCACTTCAGTCCAGGTTTTCAAGATGTTCTCCCCATGATCAATAATATCAGTCCATATCCTGTCTGTTGTGATCTATGGGAATGGGCTAATCCCATCAAATCTTTGAGTTCTTATTCTTACATAATTATATTCATTAAGATATACCTGTTTCTCTATGAATTAAGTTTAGAAGAGACAACATTTATTAAGGAACTATTTCTTTTAGGTATGCAAATTTCTCTGCACCGTATGGATAATGAAATACTTCCTGTGTTATTCTAGTCCTGATTTTCCCACATATTCAGAAGAGAATATCCAAAAATATCTTCCTTTGGGGCACAGTTAAATTGCTGAATTTATTCTTTTCTAACATCTTCAAGCATGGCTTTAATAGGATTGTGTATTGCACACTAATGAAAAAGGTTGAATTAAGGTTGGGAGCTTTGTACTAAATTAATTTCAGTCCTTCTAAAAAAATAAAGTTGTAGGTCAAGCCTACTGTGCCTGGGGTATGCAGTAATATTTTTTATCTGTGATTTCAAGGATTCTAGGAAAATAATTTAAAATATATATATATATCCAGGTATTGAAATGACAAATATATTTCAGTTAAATTTATAAACTATGTACCTAACATTTAAGGTAAACAGATATTTATAAACTAACTGAATAATTGTTTAAATTAACATAGTGGTATTAAAAATACTAAATGAAGTTGATGGTGATTAGTCTTACAAAACTATGATTCTGTGCCAAAATGGACACATTTAATTTCTCAAGGACTTGAGAAATATGGTATTTAATACTTCTGTTTAATATTTGTCAAAAATATGTTAAAAGAATGAAGTCTTCTAAATCACTTTTCTTTTGGTGTTGCATATATTTATGTCATCTGGAAACATTTCTGTATTTCCATTCCTTATAAATCCTAAAATTGCTGGCATAAAGACGTAGTTAAATCCATGTATTTCTCTCATACTTTCTAACTAAAATTAGTAACAGCTTTTGCTGGCACCCACTTGTCACTGCAAACTGTAACAAAAAATTCAGTTCTTAACACTTAAACACTTCAACAACTTTGTAAACTTTTTGTGTTTTTCTCACCTCTAGCTGAAATTAAAAGTAGTCTAGTAACATTTTCTATTCAGCTGAGACAGGAACATTGTGTGCATTAAGGAAAAGCACCAAGACATGTTGCAATACAATACTGCTAAAATTGTTTACATTTATTGTGATTTTAAAGCATACTGTAGTTTAAGATGCTAGTAAGACTAAAATTAATGATAAAAATTCTTAACTTAACAATAAGAGGCTAACAGCCATCCATCACTTTAGACAGTAACTTAGTCTTTTGGGGAAATTAATGTGCAAAACAAGCTACTCTCCTGCATAGATGGACTTGATCAAAAAGAGCTGAAGTTTACCTAAAAGCTTAGCTTTCCAGTCTGTGTAATTCTGACTTGTCGATTAAAGCTGACTACAACAATACAGTACAGTCATCCACACATCATGTGACCCAGGCATTCCATGTAGAGCAAGGAGCAAGCCTGCTCTTAGTTAGGATCCAGAATGATTACACACATTGTGGTTCCTAATTTAGCACTTGTCCACATCATTCTGAGGTATCTTTAATGGTACTGTCTAACCAAGCTCTGCAAGCCGATGACTTCAGCTGATCGTTGGACAGCCTCAGCTGTATGCTTTGATGCTAATTACATCACCCCATACTGGACCAGGGCTTTGGGGATACTTTTAAAAAGAAAAATGTGCTCTGCATGCATTAACTCACATCTATCAAATGCTGAAGCATAAATCTTCGGTGTAA